AATACTCAACTTATTATAGACCACGGAAAAAAATCGCGCACTAAGTCTTGAAAATGTTGTAAATTTGATATAAATATGATGCAAGTGTCCAAAATGATGTAAATCTGATGTAAATTTAATGAAAATGATTGACATCATATTTCAAATTTTTACTACTGTACCAGGAACTCTCTTCCCTCCCCTCCCCCTCTCACACACACAAGTCCAATACTTCATGATATTTCAATCTTTTCGTTGACATTCGAAGACACACTAGAAACATCTACGCATCGCGCCTGCATTGGTTACTGATAGTTATGCATGAGTCAATTGAGCCACCCCTCCCCCTCCCCTTCCGGGTCTTAGCTTTATTAAAATGGTGGGAACTAGCGGTAAACTAGTGTGAGCTGCGTCCGAAACGTCAATAAGTTATTTCACTTTTTTTACGGTGTTAAATTTATCTTTTTACATAACTGTTTCTTAGCCTTATTAGCGGGACATTCACTATTTTCTCGAGTGAACAATAGTGAATGTCTCAGTCACCAGGAGAATTTAACAGTTGAATCCCAGTGAAATGTGAACCCCTTGTCTGATCATTGACTGACTGGTAGCTTTGGCCACAAAGCACGTGAAAATCGATAACTGATAAAGCAAAAAAAGAAAAACGCCGACCAAAGTGACTGCCCCGCTATTGATACATGTTGATATTGAGCTGTACGAAGCAGTGAAAAGAAATGAATCTCCCGACCACGAAAGCACATATAATGCGTGATTTCTTTTCCTTGCTCAGTTCGACTTGCTTATACCTGTGGTTGTTGTTCTTGCAAGATAGGCTGGCGTTCTCCTTCCCCGTCATTATTATTGCAACATGAATTGATGACCACAGATAGTATAGCTACAATAAAGCAGCCTATCACACCAATATTTAAGATAATAACTGTCCAAACTAGGAAGCTGACTGAGTCGGGGTCTCTAGTAAATGATGCAAACCGAANCCTGACCCTGTTCCAGAGTAAAATCGCTGAAAACTATACCCTGTTCCAGAGTAAAATCGCTGAAAACGATACCCTGTTCCAGAGAAAATCCTGCACTAGCTTGCGTGTAGACCAAATTTTTACCCCGTAAATTTTTACCCAGCATCAATAGTTCCGGAATTAAACCCTGACCCTGTTCCAGAGAAAATTCGTTGAAATCGATACCCTGTTCCAGAGTAAAATCGCTAAAAACGATACCCTGTTCCAAAGTAAAATCGCTGAAAACGATACCCTGGCTGGCGGCACGTGCCCGTATAGCGAATATAAAGGGGAGTACTAGCTGTACTCAGGGTTCTGCGTCGCTTTCAGACTTTTTCCTTCGTGTCAGCCTCGTTGGCCAGCTTGACTATATTCAACGCGCCATAGTCCATAGAAGCACTGTAGAAGGGATGGGAAACTTTCCTTGCTCGTAGGGTACTTTCAGAACGACAGCATTTACCACAAATCATTTAGATATGAATTATGAATGATAAAAACTATTAGGTAGTATTTATTTTCGTCTCATCACGGTCTTCCCAAATATGTTTTTCTGTAATTAGCTATGCAAATTAAATTCATATTCCTGAAGTCCCGCTGAATATCGATTTCCCCATCGACTTATGTTCCAGCGCCTTAAACCATTCGGCCACGGTGGCATTTTGATGAAAATTGGCGTGTTTTAGTTGTTTTATAGCACAGCGAGAGTCCGCTGTTCGAGTCCAGTTGGCGACAGAACATTTTTTTGGAGATTTTCTTTTCTTTTCTCCTTTTTCCAATAATAACAAACATGTTTCTGCATAAAGTTTTGTTTTTAAAAAAATTAAATGAATTTTTTAAAAACAAAACTTTATGCAGAATAAAATCAGGTTCACCATGATGGGTTTCGCGCAAGGTCGGGCACGAAATTCTTAGGTCATTGGTTCAGCTCTGCCGTTAGCCGTTTGCCGTCAACGTGATGCTTAAACTCTCTAATTCTGAATTTTTACCGTACCCAGGCCTCTACGGCCGGCACGGTTATAACATGCAAGCACTTTTTTTACACGTTAGGTTTTTAACGAGCTTCTGTCGAGAATCAAGAGCGATTACTTCTACTTCTAGAGTGAACCTTCTAATGAGAATAACGAGCCAGAGGGAATACTTTGAAGTGAATCTTCTATTGACAATTAAGAGCGAATATTTTTCACGTACGTCACGCGCCGATGACCACGGAAATTATTCTCTACTTGAATAACAATTAATTTTATTTGCATCACAAAACCTACCCCCCAAAATCAGAAGGTATTATGGGTTAGCGCAAGTAGAGAATAAAGAATTTAAATGAGTTTACACTCTCCCTGGGTCAACTAAGTCCTTCAGAACTGTCCAGTTAACTCCTTTTTGTATTATCTAGCGTTTGAAATCAATGATTCTTTCAGAATTGGAATTCAACTGGAATTATTTGACATCGATTTCGCACTGTATCCTTGTTATTTTGAGGGACTTTGCCTACTCAAACAAAATGGTGTCAAAAACGTCACTGACCTCAACTATTCTCAGATTCCTCAGTTCCTCTAGAACAATGACAAGCTATATCACGAAGAATATATACGACAGAAGAGAATTTAAGGATTTAAGGACCTTCAACTATTCACTTACTATACGTCCATCAATATTGTAAACTTAATACAAAAAAAATCTAATCAAAATCTAATTTTATAACACATATCGATAACTGCTACGGTGCCATGTCGTCTTAAGGTGTTTCGATCGTAATAAATCGCGTTTCGCGCGTATTTTTAAACTCCAACTACGTCGCAAATTTCGATTACATTGCACTCAAATTTTCACAGAAGTAACAGTGATTATCGATAATTCTTGTCGATGAATTAATTTGCCAAAAATGCGAAGCCATTTGGATAAACGATGCAAAATAAAAACACCTTCATTTTTCTTCAAAATTAATTTTCTCGAAACTCATCGCAGAGATTGTAATGAAATTGTCAGAATCTTTTTTTAATAACATAATTGATATACTGACGAAGTTTCAATAAAATCTTAACCTAAAATTTCGATTTGTTCGAATGTACATCATTTTGCTCAAACAACTCGAAAGTTTAGGTTAAGATTTCATTGAAACTTCGTCAGTATATCAATTATGTTATTAAAAAGTGATTCTGAAAATTTTATTACAATCTCTGCGATGAGTTTCGAGAAAATTAATTTTGAAGAAAAATGAAGGTGTTTTTATTTTGCATCGTTTATCCAAATGGCTTCGCTTTTTGGCAAATTAATTTATCGACAAGAATTATCGATAATCACTGTTACTTCTGTGAAAATTTGAGTGCAATATAATCGAAATTTGCGACGTAGTTGGAGTTTAAAAATATGCGCGAAGCGCTATTTATTACGATCGAAACACCTTAATTGAACCGGGCACGGTAAGTTCCACGTAATGGTTCTCGATTTTTCATCAAAATTAACTGACATCACTATACACATTTTTGTCACAATATCAATTTATTTTTCAATTTTATTCAAAAAACAACAAAATCAATCACTGGAAAATCTCAGTCTTTTACATACTATGTAAATATTTTGGAAATTGTATTTTACAAACAATTTTTTCCACATTTACAAAATATATACAATGAGTACGAGGAATAATTTACAAAAATTTACATAGTATCTAAAAGTACCCTGCTCCCGTAAAATCAATTTTAAGTCTGAGGTTTTCCAGTGAATTTCAAATACCAAATTTTCAATTAAACATAAAAGAGCAACAATGGAGATGTAATATTTCTGTCGTAGCTTAACCAAACTTTGGTTATTTTAGTCCAATAAAAGAAAAAAAGACATTAAATCCATGTTCAATTATATTTAAGCAAAGAAATATCAAAAAAAAAAAAATATTGTAAAAAAAAAATATTGTATTTTTACTGTATCATTGAGCTATATTATTCTACAACTATGTACAAAATGTATTAACCCTAGAGAAAATATCTTATTGATAAAGTTTTTCATGTCCTCATTCTATCACCTACAGAATGTCAAAAACAAGAGAAAAACTCATTTTCTCTTGTCAAAAACTATCATACAAATTTATAAAATGTATATTTAATTTTGATATAAGCTTATGTTTTTACAAAAGAATATGTAAGGAATTGTAGAAAACTAAGAAATGATGAATAAATAGTTTCCTGTGCTTTTTGTTGTGTTTGGTTTTACTTGTATCACGGCTATATAAACTCTACAAGAGTTTGAACATTGAATTATCTAATCTATGAATCATAACCTAACACCAGGATATTTATTCCTACAGAATTGTCTAGTTCTCTCTTTACACTCAGCAGATATTTTATTACCATAAAGGATTAGGCAGTTGAGATTACTTGGAAAGTGTTCCATGATGTGATGCACTCCACGATCGGTTATTTTATTACTACTCAGGTCTAGCTTGGTTATTTTTGTCTTTGTTAAATCCTCACACAAACACTTTAGGCGTTCATCATTCATACCACAAAACAGCATCGACAGTCCAGTGATTGCGCAGTTTGGATGATTTAGAGATGGCAGCAATCTCTTTAACCCGGTACTGGTTATCGGTGACCATTGAATGTATAATGTGTCTGGTGGTGATGATATTGATGTAGCAGTG